GTTGATAAAGTGGGCAGTCTAACAGAATGTGGCTGACTGATAATGGAACCTTACAATTCTCACAGAGGAGCAGGGCGCCTCTCCATGAGATTTATTCATACAAAAATTACAAAATTTACTGTTATGCAGACAACTGCATTATTGTAAAAATGGTATAAATACTATCAGTGCGCTAGTGAAAGAATATTAGACTCCCCAGTTGACGTGTATTGGACGTGTGGTGTGATTTGCTTACTCCTGAACATTGGTAAAAATCGAACATTTTTGCTACTTTGAGCTCAATTTCAAGGTCGTTTTCATCGTGAAACTAATCAAAATCATCTCTTTTTCTGTAATATGTTTTCCATTTTATCACACGAGACCATGAAAACGAGAATACAACGATAAATACTATACGAAAATACACCTCAAAGTCGGCGTTTTAATCCAAAAAAAAATGGCCAGTTTTTTTTTTCTCCTTATGCACTGCGTGCTGCAGGATTTTTTTTTATGTAGTGCACACTAACCACACAGACCCATTCTCTCACATGTGGGCCTACCAGCTTTCTCCTGCTTGATTTGATGCCGCTAGAATTTATGTCTATTAACCCTTTCAGGGTCCAAGGCCAAAATCTGAAGTCACGCACCAGTGTCCAAGAAATTTTGAAAAAAAAAAATTATTTTTTCTTACAGAATTAAAGAGCATATTTTTGTGAAGGTAATAAAACAAAAAAAATAAGAATCTGATCAGTACTTACCGAGATACAGTGCCAAGAAGTTTATAGAAAATGATGTGGTGGTGGCAACATCGACGAATTCCACATACGCGTATTATATTATTTTGTTGTTTTAGTTGTTTTTTCTTTTCTTTTCCAATTTTTTTCTATTCCTACTAACATTTGGGGCCTGAGAGACCAATACTGTATATAATTGATATATATAAACTCACAGTATTGAACACAATAACCGCACTAAAGTTATTATCATATTATTGTTTACCACTGTTTTTTATTACAATAAACATGCACAAATATTGTATAATACTAATGTTCTGTCATATATTTACATATTTACAATCACTGGACATGGTTTTAGAACTGCTGGAGCTTGTGGAACTCCTTGAAACAAGGCACCATGCACAGAGGCACCTTACATTCCTCACACATAAACCGAGTGTCTTTGCGTCTTTGTTGCCGTCATTTTGTTTGTGCACAGACAATGCATCTCTTCTGAGCAAATTTCTTTTGAGTTGAAGGAAGCTGTATTATGAAATGATCACCTTCTCTTCTCAAACGCTTGGGTATATCCTGAGGAATTCGAGGACCATGTTGTATTGCAGGTGTTGTTTTACCTGGTACTTCATTATGAGTTGTCTGACAACAGACAAACAAAATTCACCATACGGTGGTCTGTTACCAGTCTTTATTTGGTACATATTATATGCATTGAGCATTGAAATGTCCATGAGATGGAAGAAAAGTTTCATGTACCACTTGTAACTCTTACGAACACAGTCAACAAAACCAATCTGCATGTCACACTTGTCAACCAAGCGCATGTTTTGTGTATAATCAATCACTGACACTGGTTTTTGAATACGTTCATTAGTCACTCGATCAACTTTGCCACTGTCTTGCATTTCATTACGGTGAATGGTTGTCAACAATGTGACATCTCGTTTGTCATGCCACTGTAATGCCATGATGTCATTGGCAGTAAACACCTGCACGTCATCACCAAAACAGTCAAAGGGTTAAAAAAAATCTGTCAGTTTATTGTAAACATTTTTCTATCATAATATCTGATAGCATTGCTGCCATTGCTCAGCTATAGCAGTACTTCAATATTAAGCAGAGGTGCAAAAGCAAGGATTAAAATTATTAGGCTTTTAGCTGAGAGTTAATTTGGCCTTGTGTGTACTGTTTGTTTTCTGTGTTTTGGAATTTCTTTACTGCCTACATTATAAAATGGGTCAATTTCAGCTTTTTTTTAAAGTTTGAAAATAACACTTGTATTTATACTTTCTCCTGTTAGGGTTCATAATAGAAGATTTTGGATTGCTGATTATAAAGTTCCAAAAGACTTGGCTTAGGGGAAGAGTGCAGACATGTTTGAATACCATAAATGTGTTGGTAAAAATGGTATATGATACTGACAAGTAGTTGGAAAAAAATATGAAAGTCCTTGAACATTTTATTGGAAACATTTTTGTACTGGGACTTTGGTCACATTTGGATTGACTAAGGTCCAAGGGCTGTAGTGTTTCAAAAAAAAAAAAATTTTTTTCATTTAGTGTTTTTTCAATAAATATATTTTCTGGATTTCCAGTCTTTAGTGTTTATTGGCTTATTTCCAACCATGTCCTTTTTAACATGGTAGATACTGTATTTAAAAAGTCCATTGTTAGTAGTTTTTGTTTTGATTTTTTTTTTTTTTAACTCATTGTCTGTCTTCCACCAAGGCAGGGTAACCCCAAAAAGAAATGTAAAGTTTTTCTTTTACATTTGGTAATTTATTCAGGAAAAGGGGTTACTAGCCCTTTGCTTCTGGCATTTTAATCCACTCTCACAACACGCATGGCTTACAGAGGAAGGATTCTTTTCCATTTTCCCATGGAATGTTTTGAATTTGGTGCAAGAAAAATATCTTTGCTTTCTTCAAATTTCACCAATGATATTTTGCTCTTTCTCCTGTTTTTATGATGCTTTTTATTTTTTGCTCTTTCTCCTGTTTTTATGATGCTTTTTATTTTAGTTTGGTATTTTGATTGTTGTTTTATCAAAATTAGCTAATATAATATTGTTTAAGATTTCAGGGATGTTTTGCTACTTCTACTTACATTTAGGTCACACTACACATGCAATTTTTTTTTTTTTTTTTTTTTTAATAACAAGTCAGCCGTCTACCACCGAGGCAGGGGGACCCAAAAAGAAAGAAAATCCCTAAAAAGAAAATACTTTCATCATTCAACACTTTCACCTCACACACAATCACTGTTTTTGCAGAGGTGCTCAGAATACAACAGTTTAGAGGTATATACGTATAAAGATACACAACATATCCCTCCAAACTGCCAATATCCCAAACCCCTCCTTCAAAGTGCAGGCACTGTACTTCCCATGCATGTACAAGCATATATATACACACCCCTCTGGGTTTTCTTCTATTTTCTTAATAGTTCTTTTTCTTGTTTATTTCATCTTATCTCCATGGGGAAATGGAACAGAATTCTTCCTCCGTAGGCCATGGATATCGTAAGACGCGACTGATATGCCGGGAGCAAGGGGCTAGTAACCCCTTCCCCTGTATAAATTACTAAATTTAAAAAGAGAAACTTTCGCTTTTCTTTTTGGGCCACCCTGCCTCGGTGGGATATGGCTGGTTTGTTGAAAGAATACAGTGGTACCTCGGGATACGAACAGCTCAAAACTCGAACAGTTATGTAGTTATATTTTTGGGGGTCTGAAACTGATTAATCTAATTTGCATTATTCCTTATGGGAACAAATTCGTTTGGTATCGGCACTCGAACAGCCTTCTGGAATGAAATAAATTTGTATCCCGAGGGACCACTGTATTGTTTAAATATTTTTTTATTTATTATCACACTGGCCGATTCCCACCAAAGCAGGGTGGCCCGAAAAAGAAAAACTTTCACCATCATTCACTCCATCACTGTCTTGCCAGAAGGGTGCTTTACACTACAGTTTTTAAACTGCAACATTAGCACCCCTCCTTCAGAGTGCAGGCACTGTACTTCCCATCTCCAGGACTCAAGTCCGGCCTGCCGGTTTCCCTGAACCCCTTCATAAATGTTACTTTGCTCACACTCCAACAGCACGTCAAGTATTAAAAACCATTGTCTCCATTCACTCCTATCAAACACGCTCACGCATGCCTGCTGGAAGTCCAAGCCCTCGCACACAAAAACCTCCTTTACCCCCTCCCTCCAACCTTTCCTAGGCCGACCCCTACCCCGCCTTCCTTCCACTACAGACTGATACACTCTTGAAGTCACTCTGTTTCGCTCCATTCTCTCTACATGTCCGAACCACCTCAACAACCCTTCCTCAGCCCTCTGAACAACAGTTTTGGTAATCCCCGCACCTCCTCCTAACTTCCAAACTACGAATTCTCTGCATTATATTCACACCACACATTGCCCTCAGACATGACATCTCCACTGCCTCCAGCCTTCTCCTCGCTGCAACATTCATCACCCATGCTTCACACCCATATAAGAGCGTTGGTGAAACTATACTCTCATACATTCCCCTCTTTGCCTCCAAGGACAAAGTTCTTTGTCTCCACAGACTCCTAAGTGCACCACTCACCCTTTTCCCCTCATCAATTCTATGATTCACCTCATCTTTCATAGACCCATCCGCTGACATGTCCACTCCCAAATATCTGAATACATTCACCTCCTCCATACTATCTCCCTCCAATTTGATATTCAATCTTTCATCACCTAATCTTTTTGTTATCCTCATAACCTTACTCTTTCCTGTATTCACTTTTAATTTTCTTCTTTTGCACACCCTACCAAATTCATCCACCAATCTCTGCAACTTCTCTTCAGAATCTCCCAAGAGCACAGTGTCATCAGCAAAGAGCATCTGTGACAACTCCCACTTTATGTGTGATTCTTTATCTTTTAACTCCACGCCTTTTGCCAAGACCCTCGCATTTACTTCTCTTACAACCCCATCTATAAATATATTAAACAACCATGGTGACATCACACATCCTTGTCTAAGGCCTACTTTTACTGGGAAATAATTTCTCTCTGTCCTACATACTCTTAACTTGAGCCTCACTATCCTCGTAAAAACTCTTCACTGCTTTCAGTAACCTACCTCCTACACCATACACCTGCAACATCTGCCACATTGCCCCTCCTATCCACCCTGTCATACGCCTTTTCCACTAATTTTAAATAGTCTTGTGAGTTTCATTTATGAGCGAAAATATGAAATATTAATTGAAGCAGGTTTTAACATGTTTGCCTTTTTTTTTCAGAGAGATCTCAAGCTACATTTGTCAAGCTTTGAGTGCACAACATCTACCAGCATAAGTAATCCTGCATCTCGGCTCTTGAAACAGAGAATTGCCTCTGTAGCAGATTATATATCATGTCAGTCTCAGGTGAACTTCCTGAAGGCATCGATACTAAAGCTCTTACTCTTGGAAGAGTTTGTTTTAAGTACTGGTGTTGAGTGGGAGGGCAGAAATATGTCATGGGGGGACAATGAAGATTTTGTATTTGAATATTCCACTTCTGATGTAGCATACCTAAATGCCTTTATTAGAGTTTTACAGACATTTGGACCTTTTCCTGTTGAGAAAGTTGTAATTTCATTTGATTTTCAGGATACTGATGATATGAAATCAGTCCTGCAGGCACTTTTTAATAGTTGTACTAAAATAAAAAGTATCCACCTAGCAGGGAAATGTGTTCACCTTATTGCACTGAGCAAACTCAAGTGCTTTTCCAAGCAGTTGGAAGAACTAGTGATGATAGACTCATTTGGAGCTCTAACCAAAGATGTATTTTGTGTATCTCTGCTAGGCAGACCTTGGATAGAATACATATCTAGTCATGATGGTAGAAATAGTTGTCTGGAGCCTCAGTTTCCCGCTTTAAGGCATTTATGGTATCAAAGACAAAATTCACATAAAAGCTGGAATGATAGTTTGATAAAAACAGCAATCTTGACATACTATCCAAACCTCAAAACTTTAAATTGGCGTGTAAATGACTTCAACCATAATTATGCTCTTACCAAAATACCGGGGTTAAGTGGTAAGCAATATAATTTAGAAAGCTTGATGTTAACTACTGTGGATCTCTCAGACTCTCACAGGAATTCAGTAACTGATCGATTAATTTGCAGTGTAGATGTTGGGTATTTACCTCAGTCATTTCCTGGTCTCCAAGATGTATCTCTAGTTTTTGCTAGAGCCACAGACTGCCAGTGCTCACGCTCAGAGCTGAGGAGTCCTTGTAAGACCAGAGCAACTCAGATTATAGAGACACTGACCAATGTGCTAAATGAATGTAGTAAAATAGAATCTCTCACTGCTGTTGGTGATATTGTACATTTAGAATCTATTTTGCATCCAGTTCTAAGTCTTCATGGACACCGATTAAAATCATTGGGTTTAAGGCTGCATTCTACAGCAACAACAACACAGCAGCATATTATATCAATTACTTCTCTGTGTCCTCACCTAGAAAACATTACTGTTACAGGAAGTGCCTCTTATGGAGGTGCTGTGTTAGGATCCCACACAAATTACAAATGGCCAAAAGTGAAGAACTTACAGTTGATGCTCAATGCTATGCAGCCAGAAAATATTGAGTTAATACGGATGTTTTTGTCTGCTTGCTGTTTTGTGGAAAGTTTATGCATCAGTATATTAGCCATTGAAAATCTTGGTGTAATAATTAATGAACATAAAGCTAATAATATAGTGGTGCTGATTTTACCTGCACTTGAAAATATATCAGATGCCGATATTGACGATCATGTATGTGTAATCCTTAAGAACTGCCCGAAACTGCGCTATATTTACGTGCCTAGAAAATTAAAGAGGTGGAGACATTTACAAGAAAAGTTATGGAATCGTGGTATTGCTGTGAAGTTTACCGACCTTCTAGCTAGTGGATTTTAGACAAAAAGTTTATGAATTTATTATACAATGAATATATTTATTTTTTACATGTCTCTGACATTTCTCTGAATAACGTAATTTTTGTTGTTGTTGGGGGAGGGGGGTTATAATTTTATTATTAAACAGATAATTATTACATTAAATATTTTCAAAGTTATAACTAAAAAAATTATTTGTAGTTCCTCTGTAAGTACAGTAGGACTCCTGTATCTGGGGGGGATACGTTCCGAGGACCTGCCGTGGATGCTGAAACTGCAGATAGTAGCAATTATAAAGTTTAACCCTTAAATGGTCCAAACGTATATATACGTTTTTTCAACATCTGAAAGTATGTAAAAAATGTAGATGATCTTTTTTGTTTTACATTTGAAAACGTGTAAAAAAAACTTTTATCTACATTTTTTTTTTGTTATTGAAAATATGTAAAAAAAAAGTAGATTTACTTTTGTAGCACTACGAATTTGAACGTAGATCTGTTTGGACCGTTTAAGGGTTAATAGATAAATTATGCACAATAAGTGGGGAAGTATCACTTTTTCACTGATGGGAAGCACTTCACAGCTTCTCTACTTTTGCACTTTGGGGCCATTATTATGCAAAATTAAAAGTTATCCACAGTAAACTGTGGATGACTGAAATCGCAGATACGAAATCAGTGGATACGGGGGTTCTACTGTATGTATATGTTTATTTTGCACGATTTTAGGATAAGCATTCATGTGATCAGGCACCAGGATTTTATAAATCAAATTTTCTACAATTTTTACTCCATTCAAGTTTAAGACCAAGTCCTGACTTGTGTGGTCTGCAAACCTTACCAGAAATCTTAGTTACCTTATGTTATGTCTTACCTATTGTGTGTGTGGGTGGTGTTGATAGTTAAAACTTTCGGAGTTTTTAAAAGCAGAAACAGAAAAGAGGAAGGCAATGAAAGTAACAAAAAATGTGCATTATGCAATGAAAAATTGGATATCAGATTGGAAGAAGTAAGTATGTATTTAAATATTTAAGAGTAGACATGTTGGTAGATGGACTTCTGAAAGATAAGGTGAACCACATTACAGACGAAGGTAAAAAGGTGGGTGGAGTGTTGAGGCATCTGTCGAGAGGAAGACGTGTTTCTATGGAGGCAAAAAAAGAGGAATGTGCCAGAGTATAGAGGTATGAACCCTTTTATATGAATGTCAGGTATGGGTTTTAAATGTTGCGATGAGGCGCATGGAGGCAGCGGAGATGATGTGTGGCATGAATAATATGCAAAGAACTCAGAGCATACAAAAGGTATTATTTGTGGGACAGGTGGTTTGGGCATTTAAAGAGTATATAGCAGAATAGGATGACCAAGATTTATGTCTGATGTATGAAAGGAAGGATGGATAGGAGTTATCCCAAGAAAGGGGTGAAGGCCATTTTGTTTTAAGTGGTAGAGGCTTGAACATTCAGCAGGTATGTTAGATTGCAGTGAGTGGAGACAAATGGATATAGGAATTTGGTGCAGTTTGAATGTGAGTAAAGTAACATTTGTGAAGGGATTCAGAGAAACCAGTTAACTAGACAAATCCTGGAGGCTGAAAGCAGTAACTCCATTCTATAGAAGGGTTGTATTGTTAAAGTTTGGAGGGTCATTTGAATTGTGAAGTTAACTCACCGCTGATAAGACGGCTATTGAATGAATAATGGTGAATGTTTCCTCTTTATGGTTGGGGGGGTCAGTCTGCCTTGGTGGAAGATGTCCAGTCTGGTAAAAAAAAAAATCACAAATTTATGTGCTACATCTGGCAAAATAATTATTCGCATATGCAATGAACCACTACCATTCTGAAGATTATGGGTGGAAGACAGTTTGCCACAAAAAAAATTCTTGTTTCAGAATCATGCAAAAATCTATGGGAAAAATAAAAATATGCCAAACAAATAAAACTGGTACATACTAAAGCCTCTAGTCAATGTCCTCTTGAATCATGTATACACATATGTACAGTACTTAAAGTTCATCTATATATAAAGTTGAATTCAAGAAAATTATACAACTACATCTTGTTGAGTTCATCAAAGTGATCTTCAAATCCTAAAATTTACAACCTTCCAAAAAACAGAAAGCAACTGGATTGATTGTATTATTGTTGAATACAAGTATGTATATAGGTACTTGCATCAAACTTCATCTAAATCTAAAAATTATTATTCTATTAATCAAAAGCTCTGATGCTTTCTTTAATATCAACTACACTTACTGTTGATCTCTTGCCTACTGACAGCAGCATGGGCTGCTTCATGTAGTTATGCCTACAACAGTATGTGACATGACATATATTGATGTAAAAATGCAATCCAAAAAGTCACAGGCTTGAACTTCTCACTTGTAAAGAACCTGTGTTAGCACAGTGTTGGTGGGTGAATGGCAGCTTTGTCTGATGCTGGTTGACCACAGCAGAAATGTCTGAAAAATATCTAACTGAAAAATACCTAACATATTCCCTGATGGAGCCATGTAATGTCAAAAAAATTGATTGGTACTTTGGTATAGCAGGTGATTGGCTCTTAAACTGCCATTTGGAAATCTGGAAAGGAAATTGGAATACAAAAAAAATGTGTAATGTTAGTACTGTGTAAAAAGTAACTATCACAGTAATTGAGTTTTACCTCTTTACTATTCATAGCAAAAAAAACAAAAAAAAAATTATTGTAAGAATTTTGGTGACTGCACTTTCAACACTAGGGAGGAGTGGCAAATATTGTTTTCTTTGTTAGATGTAAAGCATCTGACCAGCTTGTGCTTGTCTTAGGAAACATGATTTAGGCAATCCTGATGCTGTCTCTTTGACTTGTAATGACCATCCTTTAAAGTTGAAAAAAAAATGTGAAAAACAGATTGTTTATGTATTTGGTTTGTGTCATAAGAAAATAAAAGCTGTGTTTACATTTTATTAATTTTTCCTGTGGCAACAAGTTTCCATAAGGAAGTACAGGATGTTCATAATTTTTTTTTAATGTACATCAGCTAATACATAGCTTTTATATGATGTGCTGTTAAATACAATTTTTTCTAGAATGTGCTTCACTTAAACAATCTCAGGGACTTAGCAAATTTGCAGCTCATCACTACCAGTGAGCTTGTTTCTGCATATACACTTTTAGTGTTCACTACTTATAAATGCATAAAATTTTTGCTTGTCTGATTTACACCTTTTGTTGCTTATCTTTTAGTTGCATAATAATAATATTGAAAATAATAATTCATTCTTGTGTAAAACCTATAAGAGATACAGATTTTAAAGATGAAGATTTTATTTCTTTGTAAATGTTACAATGTGTAATTACAATATTGGTTTGCTAGGCACAAAGAAAGCCACTATAATACTGAGCCATTTCGGGCAGACTAATCCTAGTACGCAATAACTAAAGTGGTACCCCGAGTTTCGTACAGTTCCCAACTCAAACAATTATGTAAATGTATTATTGTAAGTGTATTTTTGGGGGTCTGAAACAGACTAATCTAATTTAAAGTATGTATTCCTTATGGAAAATATAGTCGGACTTGAGTCCTGGAAATGGGAAGTACAATGCCTGCACTTTAAAGGAGGGGTTTGGGATATTGGCAGTTTGGAGGGATATGTTGTGTATCTTTATATGTGTATGCTTCTAGACTGTTGTATTCTGAGCACCTCTGCAAAAACAGTGATAATGTGCGAGTGTGGTGAAAGTGTTGAATGATGATGAAAGTATTTTCTTTTTGGGGATTTTCTTTCTTTTTTGGGTCACCCTGCCTCGGTGGGAGACGGCCGACTTGTTGAAAAAAAAAAAAAATCCTTATGGGAACAAATTTGTTCGGTAACAGCACTCGAACAGCCTACTGGAATGAATTATGTCCGAAACTCAGGGTACCACTGTACTTAAATCTAGACAAGATAAGAGTGGTTAACTTTTATTAAAATCTTGAGTTAATACATAGTAATGTGAGGTAGTCAAGGTGGAGGTTTATAAGAATAATAATCTTCAAGTTGCACATAAAAACTATTACAATTAACCCTTAAACTGTCCAAACGTAGATCTACGTTTTTTCAACATTTGAAAGTATGTAAAAAAAGTAGATCTTCTTTTCTTTTTTTTACATTTGAAAACGTGTAAAAAAACTTTGATCTATTTTTTTTTGTTATATTTGAAAATATGTAAAAAAACGTAGATCTACTTTTGGAGCACTACGCATGTGAACGTAAATTTGGACAGTTTAAGGGTTAATAGTTCAAGCAGTAATATTTCATGGATTGGCAGATGTTTAATAGACTTGGTCATTTAATATAATATAATAACTGATTAGAAGTTGTTTTGGTTGGTTTGGTTAGTATTTAAGCAAAGTCCTAAATTTATAAGTAGTCAGGGGATCCTTTACCAGTTCAGGTAGTGAATTCCAGATCTTCAGGGCCCTTTATGTGCACTGCATTTTTGCATTGTGAGAGATTGACATGAGGGACGTTAAAGAGTGCCTTATGCCTTGTATTGTGACTGTGCGTTCTGTTGTAGCTATCAAGGAGAAGTTTAAGTGGAGGGTTTATACTGGAGTTTATTTTATTTTATTTTTTTATCAACACATTGGCCGATCCCCACCAAGGCAGGGTGGCCCAAAAAAGAAAAACTTTCATCATCCTTCACTCCATCACTGTCTTGCCAGAGGGGTGCTTTACACTACAGTTTATAAAACTGCAACATAACACCCCTCCTTCAGAGTGTGGACAGTGTACTTCCCATCTCCAGGACTCAAGTCCAGCCTGCCAGTTTCCCTGAATCCCTTCATAAATGTTACTTTGCTCACACTCCAACAGCATGCCAAGTACTAAAAACCATTTGTCTCCATTCACTCCTATCAAATACGCTCACGCATGCTTGCTGGAAGTCCAAGCCCCTCACACACAAAACCTCCTTTACCCCCTCCCTCCAACCTTTCCTAGGTTGATCTCCTCCCCGCCTTCCCTCCACTACAGATTTATACACTCGAAGTCATTCTGTTTCATCCCATTCTCTCTACATGTCCGAACCACCTCCACAACCCTTCCTCAGCCCTCTGGACAACAGTTTTGGCAATCCCACACCTCCTAACTTCCAAACTACGAATTCTCTGCGTTATATTCACACCACACATTGCCCGCAGACATGACATCTCCAGCCTTCTCCTCACTGCCACATCACCCATGCTTCACACCCATATAAGAGCGTTGGTAAAACTATACTCTCGTACATTCCCCTCTTTGCTTCCAAGGACAAAGTTCTTTGTCTCCACAGACTCCTAAGTGCACCACTCACCCTTTTCCCCTCATCACTTCTATGATTCACCTCATCTTTCATAGACCCATCTGCTGACAGGTCCACTCCCAAATATCTGAATGCATTCACCTCCTCCATACTCTCTCCCTACAATTTGATATTCAATCTTTCGTCACCTAATCTTTAACTCCGCACCTCTTGCCAAGACCCCTCGCATTCACTTCTCTTACAACCCCATCTATAAATATATTGAACAACCATGGTGACATCACACATCTTTGTCTAAGGCCTACTGTTACTGGGAAATAATCTCCCTATTTCCTACATACTCTAACCTGAGCCTCGCTATCCTCATAAAATCTCTTCACCGCTCTCAGTAATCTACCTCCTATACCATACGCCTGGAACATCTGCCACATTGCCCGACTATCCACCCTGTCATACGCTTTTTCCAAATCCACAAGTCCCACAAAAACCTCTTTACCCTTATCTAAATACTGTTCACCTATGTTTCACTGTAAACACTTGGTCTACACACCCCCTACCTTTCCTAAAGCCTCCTTGTTCATCTGCTATCCTACTCTCTGTCTTACTCTTAATTCTTTCACTAATAACTCTACCATACACTCTACCAGGTATACTCAACAGACTTATTCCCCTATAATTTCTGCACTCTGTTTTGTCCCCTTAGCCTTTATACAAAGGAACTGCATGCTCTCTGCCAATCCCTAGGAACCTTACCTTCTTACATACATTTATTAAATAATAGCACAAGTTCAAGCTTTTGAAAAAGTGGTGGGGGTGCTGTCTAGCACAGGAGTTGGTAATCATCTGCACAGCAGCTTATTAGGTTATTAAAGGTTTAAGGTGGTTGGCTGTGGTTGATCCCCAGGCACAAATACCATAGGTGACAGTGTTATTTGTGGTACATAGTGTCGTATCTCAGAAAGGATGCCTACTGATTTGGAAATTTTCTTGGATATATCCTGAATGTGGGAATGAAACCTAAGATTACAGTCAAGGAGAAGACCTAGAGATTTACCCTCAGTGTGTCTTGAAATAGGAGAACCATTTATCGATACATTAAGTTGGATATTTAAGGCTCTGTTTCCAAACAGCATAACATGTTTTGTCTATGTTGAGAGTGAGTTTGTTGGTCATCATCCAAGTCCATATATATTTTTAGCAGCTTGTTGTTTACGGTGTTTCTCAGTATAGCTGGGTTTGAGTGGGAGTAGACATAAGTAGTGTCATCTGCCTATAGAACTGGTTTAGGGACTTGGGATGCATTGGGGAGATCATTTATGTAGACGAGACAGAGGAGTGGGCCTCGGGCACTCTGACAGCTACAGGCTGGATAGTGGAGTTGACTCCATTTGCGTATACACACTAGTGCCTATCATTAAGATAAGATTTTAGGTAATCGGGGGACTGTTCTCTTAATGCTGAAATGATTTAGTTTTAGGTGCAGGAGATTGTGGTCCACCGTATCAGTGCTTTCTGTAGGTCAGTGAAGAGCCCCAGAGGATATTCAGTTTTATCGAGGGCTGTATAGTGT